ACACACACACACACACACACACATATATATATACATATGTGTGTGTGTGTGTACATATATATATATATATATATATATATATATGCATGCATATGTGTGTGTGTGTATATATATATGTGTGTGTGTGTGTGTGTGTGTGTGTGTGCATATATTTATATACACACCACACACACATATATGGCACTTTGCAGCAGACCAGCTGGAATCACTGCAAACTGTGTCTTAAAGAAACAGTTCAATCAGAAGCTGATTTCACCCAGCGTGCCTGTTATTGCCAGGGCCCTTTTTCTCTACTGGAGTTTGCAAGAGTTAATTGTCCCCCTTCAAGGTCCCAGTGAAGTGCCAGTCACGGCACGACCTTAGCTGAAGAGCGCTTGCTTCCTCCCTGCTTCCACAGCGTGGGGAACTGCCAAAACTGTTGGCAGCCGGGCAGTGCTCTGTTCAGGCTGTCATCTCCTCTCATCAAAACCCCTTCTTTTGCAGCCTCTCCAAATCCCAGCTTTCCTGGCTGCAGCATCTGGACACTGCTTCCTCCTCTGAGCAGACCCACATCCTCCCTTCTGGAATACAGGCAGTGGTTCCCCATTCATTTCAGGATCCAGGGTAATGTGTCCTCCTTTTCATACAACCACAGACCATGAGGGCTGGAAGGGACTCCAGTACAACCACAGACCATGAGGGCTGGAAGGGAGGCCAGGAGTCCACCCCCCTGCTCCAAGCAGGACCAGCCCCAACTACATCATCCCAGCCAGGGCTTTGTCTAGTTGGGTCTTGAACACCTCCAAGGATGGAGACTGCACCGCCTCTCTGGGGAGCCTGTTCCAGTGTTTTCTCACCCTCCTAGTGAGAAAGTTTTCCTTAATATCTAACCTCAACTTCCCTTGCTGCAGCTTGAGCCCATTGCTCCTTCTGTCATCTGCCCCCACTGAGAACAGCCCAGCTCCATCCTCTTTGCAGCTGCCCTTCAAGCTTTTCTAGGTGTCCGTGGTCCCACTCGTGGACATTATCTTTCCAACCTCCCCATTTCACTCCATGCACTCATCTAGCCACAACCTTTGCTTTATTTTTCTGCATAGTCTTATGACTTGTGTCTTCTCTGCAGCGCTTGCTTTCTGGAGGAACCAGCCTGTGCCGCTTCCTGTCACCTGTTATACTGTAGTGCCATCGAGAGACACTTACCCCTCTCTACCATAAGCTGTAACACTTTCTGCCATTTCTTTTAGTCATGCAATATTGAAAATTTTTCATCTCCTTCCAGACTGAACATAAATTCTCTCTAATGCCTGCCTGCTCTTTGCAAAGAGGAGCTGGAACCAACAGGACCTCACCAACTATTTATAGCACCTTCATCTCCTTTTGGCATCTGCATGGGAGAGGATTAACTCATGTGACACGCAGCCCCTCTGTGCCTGTGTCAGGCAGCTCGCACGCACGGATCGGGATCCATGCGGGGCGGGGAGCAGATAGGGTGAGCTGCTCACAAAATGCAGGAGCAAGAGCACAGAGGAAGAAACAGGGAAAGCGCAGGCCAGCTGCTGCTGCCGCTTATTCCCGTGCTAGCCGGGATCGTGGATCCTGTTAGTCAGTGGAGTCTCAGTGCTGCAGCAGAGAGATGAATCAAAGCACTTCCTGGCCTGCTAATGCATTATTTAGACACAGGTATGTCATCTGCTTTCCTTCCTATTTGCCACTGGGAGCTGATGTTGGCAACCCTTGGCAAAGGGAGCAAAAGCAGCAAAGAAGCTGTGAGCTATGCAGGCTTTGCCTTACCCGTAGCTGTAACCCGTCCATGGCTGTCTTACCACCAGCACTCATGCACCTGCTAGGGCGAGACGGGAGAAAAGGTTTAGCAAGAAAAGGCAGGGCCCCAGGTGCAGAGGCCAGGTCAGAGCAGAGTGGGGAGAGCCCCTGAGGGCAGGGCATGGTGGAGCAATGGGCGATGAAGTGGAAAAGAGAGGGTGACTGGTTTTGGGACCTGCCCTTGGTAAGAGCTGGGGGAGAGAGTGAGAGTGGGCTTCTCCATTCCCTCTGCTTCTCAACCCTCCCTCCGAGGGAACGGCCTGGCAGTGCGAGTCTATTCACGACGCAGTCTCCTCTCCCTTCTGCTTCCAGGACTGGACCCGTGCCCCCAAACCCCGCGGCTATCAGCCGCCCCAATCCCTTGTTCCCTGCCCCATCCTGTGGGAACGTGGAGATCTTCACTGCTGAAACTTCCCAACCGATCGTGTTGTGATATAACCCTTTCCTCCAGTCCTCCCTTGCAAGGACAGGCCAATCCTCATCCCTTTGCTCCATCCCCTTCCCCAAACACCTTCCTTTGCCCTCTCCTTGCTGGACGTCTTATTGCGCATGAAGAGACAGAGCTCATGGGCCACCTCTAAAGCTCGGGTCCACCTCAGCTAGCAGCAATGATTACAGAGGCCGGGATGGAGACAGCGCTCCACGATGCCCCGCAAAGCCATGAAAGCCGGCGTCGGAGCATCAGCTATCCTAGCACCACCGCTTGCATGATCCGCCCTCCCTTCCCAGCCCACCAGATGTGGTTTCTTTGGGAGCTAAACAAGCCTCGGGAAGCTCTTACCAGGTCCGCCGCGGTGCTCGGGCGCGGGTGACTGCGGCGGCCGTCCAGCCGTCACAGATATCGTTAAGAGCGGCGGGAGCGCTAATCCCAGCAGCCAGCGTCTCTGAGCACAGATTATTTGCTGTCCTGACTCTCACGCGGGGGGAGCAGCTGGCCAGGGGGCAGCCCAAGTCGGGGGGAACAGACCCAGCAAGGTGGAGCAGGGGCAGTTTGGGGGACACTTAGTGTTAATGTGCTCCGGATAGGAAATAATTGCAATGCCTATTGCTTATGCCAGCAGTATCACACGTCCCCTTTGCACCGCACTAGCTAGGGGACGAGTGTCCCAAAGACACGCAGAGGACCTGACTCCCCGTGCTCGCGGCAGTGGCTGTCCGCCTTTCTAGACTCCAGCACCCCTCCTTCCACCAAGGCCTGCTCAGAAAATGGCACCTCTTTACTGTTCACTTGGTTTTGACGACAGAAAACAAACCCTAGTGCAATTCTCCTGCTGCAAAGAGCTCAGAAAGACCCCAGCATGGTTTCCTAGCTGAAATCTCTGGGCTGATCTCAGTCTCTGCTCAGTCGCAGCGGAGGAGACCGTTCTCCTCGCCGCGGAGGGTGAGCAACAGCAGCCGAGCGGTTGCCATCAGGGGCTGGGTGGACGAAGCAGATGTCTCTGGCCTGGCTGCATGTTCCCTGGCTCGGGGGATCTTCCTACGGGCCTTGGCTGGGGAAGTGTAAGGTTGTGCTGCCATCTGCGGGCAGCCTGCTGAAGGCCGGAGTTAGGAAAGGAGCTGGCACAAGCCCCCAGGGCTGGCAGGGGAGTAACAGCTGGCACAGATGTGCATTCATGCCGGCTGTCTGAGCCCCCCGCGGAGGGTAGCACCCAGCCCCGGGAGTTGGGAGCAGGCAGGGATCCTGCATCCCCATCTCGAGCGAGGAGGTCGCGGGAGGCTGCCGCAAGCATTGCCGCCAGCCAGCCAGCCCCGGAGAGGCAGGGGCTGGCAGGAGCCCTGCCCTGCTTCTGGGCTTTTTAAATGGGTCAGCAGCAGGTGACGGGATGAAATTACCCCTCATTTTATTGCTAAGGGCCTGCAGCCTGGAACAGCAGGGTCTGTCATGACAACGGGATGGTTTAACCAGCACATCGTGTTAACCCCTTCACGTGCCTGTCCATTCCCACCTGCCTGCCTGAAGAGTGAAGCCAGGAGAAAACCATGGGGTCTCTGTCTCTAGGTAGGAGAAGGGCCCTTGAGGCAGCTCTCAGGAGTCGTTTCAGATCGAGGATGCTCAAAAAGTCTCCTCTGTCCGACCCCCAGAGGTACGTACGAAAGGGTCTCAGTCTGGGCTGAGCCTGAGAGGGCAAGGCTTTGTCTGGGGGGTGTCCCAGTTTGAACCCCGAAGTTTGTCCAAGTTTGAACCCCGATGCAGCCTTTTGTTTGCACGGTATCTGGACAGCGCAGACAGCAAACACACCTCTTGTATGGTGTGCTACCTTGGCAGGTTGCTCCAGACCTCCACCTGTGCGTGGGGTTAACACCGGAGAGGCTGGGTATAGGGTAAGCGCCGGTGTCCAGACACAAGGCTGGGCACTGAGGGCGGACCGGGTGCTGGATATGGGTCACGCATGGCCATGGAGCAGCGTGTGGGATGAGTGGGGGCACGATGCCAGGACCAGAGCGTGGGCAAGGGGCAGGGCGCTGCCTTAGCAGCGGGGCATGGCCATGGGCATGCTTCGAGTGGAAGGGGCACAATTCTGCGCGCAGGTGAGCCGAGGCCTGGGCATGGGGGTTGCCTTGAGCTGGCAGCTCTGGGACATGGCGCTGGGAGCCCAGGAAGAGCCAGGACTGCACAAGGGGGATGTAGACGTGCCAACTTGACAGCATGAAGCAATGCAGGGCAGCACTAACCTCCCCACTGGATAGCCGGACCCAAAGCTGCCTTGTTATCTTGCCACCTCCTGGCACACGCCAAATGGGTGTGATGCTACCGCTCCCTGGGCTGAAGATCTGCTCGGTCACGTCCTCCTCTTCCCCGCGCCCTTCTGGCAAGGGCCAGGGCGCAGCTCAGGTGCCATCTCGGTCACCCAAACCGAGGGAGAAGGAGCTGGCAGGTCTCTTTGGTGTGGCCTTTTGGCAGGGCTGGAGGAGATGGAAACCTTGCTATTTCCATCGTGGTTCTTTTGAACGTAATGTTGTTCATGTCGGTGGGTTCATGCACTTTAGGGGGAGAAACAGGCCCTGCATAGGAGAGGGGGTGTGGGCTCCTCTGCACGCCAGGAGCGGGCTTGCCTGCATCCTTCACCATCTGCGCTGCCCTTGGCTCGTTCTTAGCGCTCCCTGCACCCCCCGGCCACGACGGCCTGGCTGCGAGCAGCGCGGCGGAGACCTTCGATGCATCTCTCCCAGACCTCCACAGACAAAATGCAACCGGAGGTTTTTCTCGTGTCTCTGAGATCAAGCCCATATGCTTGAGTCCAACCTTGGCAGCTGTTTTCCAAACATGGCACAGGCATGTGATGCTGGCGCCTATCAACAGGATCCAGAAGCCACGCTAGGGCAGGGGAAGACACCACAAAACTAGGAAAATCTCTCCTTTAAAAAGGCTGCAAGCAATGGGTGGAGGCAGTGATGGAGCAGAGTAGCCAGGCTCAAAGGATCGTCCAGAAACCTGCACAAATGAAGAGCCGGGCAGAAATGGGGGAAGGCTAAGGTCGTCTACGAGGAGGAGACACCTGGACTGGGTCGGGAAAGCATGGAAACGGGGACGGAGCCCGTTCCCCAGGGTCAGCGTTTCTTGCCAAGGCGTCCCCACTTCTCCCACCTGCCCGGCCTTTTCCACACCGCATCCAGGCAGGAGCCGTGCCATCCCAGCGTGGGCGAGGCGGAGAGGCTTGGCTTTGCTGCTTGGCTTCGCAGCTCATTAGCAGGCACGGCAGGGGGGTGGCAGGACTGGGAGGGCTGCAAATCCTCTCTGGTGGAGGATGTCGTGGACCAGTCCACGTGGGAAGGACTTGCCCTGACCTAACAAGCGCACGGTGCTTTCACACTTAATGTCTCTCCCCCGAGGTCTCCGGTGAAGGTGTCGAGGCGATGAGGAAGCAGATCACAGGAGCGCCAGGATCTGGGCGAAGGAGCTAGTTGCTATGGCAACAGAGAGGCTTATGGTGGAAGACTTTGAAGGATATGTCACATCCATAAAATCACTGCACTGAGGCAGCATCTCCGAGGAGCCATTCAAACAAACTCCGGAGGAGCAAAGAACGAGCCGAGATGCTGGAACGAATCTAGTGCTGCCGATCACGGGAGCGGTACGTGTGGGTGTATGCAAGGATGTGCGAGTGTTGGCATAGACGTCGGTGCGCATAGTGATGGGACGTGCGAGCTTGGAGAAGTGTTAATGGGAGCGTGCGCGTGTCGGGGAGGGTTTCGCTCTGCATATGGAGAGAAGGGGTATGTACAGGAGCGGCAAGGATCGCGAAGGAGAGATGCTGTCGTTATTAAAGTACGAGGATGGGGATAACGGGAGCCGTACCGCAGATTCAGTGCGACCGCGGGCAAGTCATCCTCGCTCGCACTGCTCGTACACGGTGCATAAGGAGATGAGCCAGCACGTGCAGACCCAGGAAACGTCCCAGGGGAATACGTGGGGTGGCCTCAGGAGCCGTGCCCCGTGCCCTGTGCCCCGTGCCCCGTGCGTAGCAAATTTGCCGATGACACCGAGTCGGGTGGAGTTGCAGACACTCAGGAGGGAAGAGCCAGGCTCCAAAATAACCTGGGTGGAGTGGAAAACCCCGTCTGTAATCCATCAGACATTCACCAAGCACAAGGGCAAAGTCTGGCACCTGGAACAGAACAGCTGCATCCACGGACACAGACTGGGGAGAGGCAGGCTTGGGTGCAGCGCTGCAGAGAAGGGCTGGGGGGCTACAGTGGGCTATAAGTTAAATAGGACCCAGCAGTGTGCTCTTGTTGCAAAAATAAAAGGAAAAAACCCCCAAACCCAACAGCACCCGGGGTTGTATGAGCAGGAGGGTCCCTTGCACGCCAAGGGAAGGGATTCTTGTGCAAATCCAGCCCTGCTGAGGGCTCGCCTGGAGCACCGCGTGCAGGGCTGGGCCTGCACTTCAGGAAGGATGAGGACAGATTGGAAAGAGTCCAGCGCAGAGAAACAAAAATGATTAGAGGTTTGGGAAGCCACACAGATGAGGGGAAGCTGAAGACCAGGG